AGGTGTTCGGACCGTCGTCTCGCAGCTGAATCAAGCAACAAGCAACTGATCTGCTCGAAACGCAAATGAAGGAGGAATCCAAGACCGACACGGGGCGACTTAATGCGAGCGCACGGTGATCGACCGCGTGACGTGTGAACAAGTCCGCATAAGCTACAGTGGTGGTAGCCGTGCGAGCAGACAGAAGCCATGCGACCAAATCGCATGCCAGACGCGCCAGTCGCGCCAGTCGCGTCAGTCGTGTTCAGGTCGTGCAGAGAGACTAGCCAAGCTTCAGTCATGTCGTATGAAGCATTGGCTGGTTCGACGTCCTGCACGGTGACAGAACGATCGTATATAGCCGTGACGACGCAGCATATCAACCAGCGCCTGAAGTCGTTTACATGCAAAAGCTTCTCAGTTTGCGTGGTGAATGGTTCGTTACTGAGCATGTGCAAACGCACTCTCCGTCGTCCGATCACTACTGAGAGTGCAAATGGAATATGTACAAAGTCCTTCTGATTGCAGAGGCAATGTGCCCATACATACAACATTCTGTAGATACTCGCTCACATGACAATACGCTGCTGATAAGGTCTACAAGCTATTTCACAAAAGTCAAGTCGTACCCAGTCTTTCACATTGTCCAACACGCGCATGCTCTATCTGGTACAGATAAAGCATGTAGTTGTTAACGCTGTAGTTGGATCACAAGCATGCGTGTATGATGGTGTCAAAGGTGACTTCACTGGCGACGATCTCTCCGTACGCGCGGGGTCGGAGTATGTTAGGGTATGCAGCGATGACAGCAGTCCGATGTCCATTGCATGTGGGTGCCTGCTTGCTACTATCGAGCTGTATCGCCAGTCAGCTTTCGCGCGTGTGTCGGACGTTGATCTGGATACTTCGTCTTGGCAGACCTATCACGGCTGCCACGCTTGATGACTCCACGCTCGACCTGACCAGTCCATCACAGCCATGGAAAGACTCCCTTCAAGTTGTCATTTGCCTCCTATATGCATAAATAATCATGTTCTTTGTCGTACGCTATCCGACCAACGGTCACGTCTAGTGCAACCTTCTGTGTCCTACGTCGCAACGTCCATCTGACTATCAATGCAAGACGCACGAAGTCAATGTCGGTTACAGTCGGTCGCATTCGGTCACACGCCTTGACTCGGTCAACATCAGTGACGACCGTCACAGCCTTCGCCGCTTTCGATTGCATCGACGTCTCCCGATCCACTGCTGATCGTGCAGCTGCTCTCCCATGTCTCTGTGCACGTCACGTGCTGGAGCTGGTGCATGTACTCGAGATTGGTCTTGCAGTCCAGCGAGCAGAATGCACCTGCTGCGCTGCTGAGCGAAGATAGCGACGTGAAGAAAAGGCGCTCGCAGTTGGCACAATACGTCTGTCGCTGCCGCCATCGAGCTCCACTCGAACTTCCACCAGCAGCTCCCTGTCTCGCCAAACGACGATCCGTTTGTCTCTGTCCTGACGCTGACACGCTTGATACCGCTACGCCTCTGGGAATGGCAATACACGTTGTGCTGGCTGACCGACTTGCGGGCGTTGGCATCGGACTGACGACGCAATCGACTCGTCTTGGCCAAGACTTCAATTGCTGCTTCTCTGCGCGCCTCGTTCGCCTTCGAAAGATGAACGGAATCATACGCGATTTCATGCGTGATGTCAAGCTCGCAGGAGATACAAACACTTCTTGCGTGTGGTGAAAGTTGGTCTCCTGACAACGAGGCTGAGGTTGGTAGCAGGATTCGATGCGTGCAGCATATGCCATGAGACGGATACTACTGCTGACGTAGTTGCTGCGCGAAGGTGAATTGAACACTGCTCAGTACGGCTGCGTAGCACTATTCAAAACACCGGGCTCGTCTTCTTGACCTCCTCCGTCATGCAAATACGCTGAACCACTGAAGCCGCCTCGCACACCAACAACGCATCACTCGCCGCCTCGCATGCCACGGCAGTGCGCGACGAGGTTTGTGATGGACGTCGAAATCAACGACTGGTCACGAACATCGACTCAGAGCTGGGCGGTCTTGGTGTGGATCCAGGACCGAATCAGAACGAAACTCCTTCATGACGAAAAGAACACGTCCGTTCGACACGCAGTTTGCGATGTACAATCGACGCTGAAGAGCCATCAGATCGCAAGCACAAGTGTTCAGGTGTTCGGACCGTCGTCTCGCAGCTGAATCAAGCAACAAGCAACTGATCTGCTCGAAACGCAAATGAAGGAGGAATCCAAGACCGACACGGGGCGACTTAATGCGAGCGCACGGTGATCGACCGCGTGACGTGTGAACAAGTCCGCATAAGCTACAGTGGTGGTAGCCGTGCGAGCAGACAGAAGCCATGCGACCAAATCGCATGCCAGACGCGCCAGTCGCGCCAGTCGCGCCAGTCGCGTCAGTCGTGTTCAGGTCGTGCAGAGAGACTAGCCAAGCTTCAGTCATGTCGTATGAAGCATTGGCTGGTTCGACGTCCTGCACGGTGACAGAACGATCGTATATAGCCGTGACGACGCAGCATATCAACCAGCGCCTGAAGTCGTTTACATGCAAAAGCTTCTCAGTTTGCGTGGTGAATGGTTCGTTACTGAGCATGTGCAAACGCACTCTCCGTCGTCCGATCACTACTGAGAGTGCAAATGGAATATGTACAAAGTCCTTCTGATTGCAGAGGCAATGTGCCCATACATACAACATTCTGTAGATACTCGCTCACATGACAATACGCTGCTGATAAGGTCTACAAGCTATTTCACAAAAGTCAAGTCGTACCCAGTCTTTCACATTGTCCAACACGCGCATGCTCTATCTGGTACAGATAAAGCATGTAGTTGTTAACGCTGTAGTTGGATCACAAGCATGCGTGTATGATGGTGTCAAAGGTGACTTCACTGGCGACGATCTCTCCGTACGCGCGGGGTCGGAGTATGTTAGGGTATGCAGCGATGACAGCAGTCCGATGTCCATTGCATGTGGGTGCCTGCTTGCTACTATCGAGCTGTATCGCCAGTCAGCTTTCGCGCGTGTGTCGGACGTTGATCTGGATACTTCGTCTTGGCAGACCTATCACGGCTGCCACGCTTGATGACTCCACGCTCGACCTGACCAGTCCATCACAGCCATGGAAAGACTCCCTTCAAGTTGTCATTTGCCTCCTATATGCATAAATAATCATGTTCTTTGTCGTACGCTATCCGACCAACGGTCACGTCTAGTGCAACCTTCTGTGTCCTACGTCGCAACGTCCATCTGACTATCAATGCAAGACGCACGAAGTCAATGTCGGTTACAGTCGGTCGCATTCGGTCACACGCCTTGACTCGGTCAACATCAGTGACGACCGTCACCGTCTTCGCCGCTTTCGATTGCATCGACGTCTCCCGATCCACTGCTGATCGTGCAGCTGCTCTCCCATGTCTCTGTGCACGTCACGTGCTGGAGCTGGTGCATGTACTCGAGATTGGTCTTGCAGTCCAGCGAGCAGAATGCACCTGCTGCGCTGCTGAGCGAAGATAGCGACGTGAAGAAAAGGCGCTCGCAGTTGGCACAATACGTCTGTCGCTGCCGCCATCGAGCTCCACTCGAACTTCCACCAGCAGCTCCCTGTCTCGCCAAACGACGATCCGTTTGTCTCTGTCCTGACGCTGACACGCTTGATACCGCTACGCCTCTGGGAATGGCAATACACGTTGTGCTGGCTGACCGACTTGCGGGCGTTGGCATCGGACTGACGACGCAATCGACTCGTCTTGGCCAAGACTTCAATTGCTGCTTCTCTGCGCGCCTCGTTCGCCTTCGAAAGATGAACGGAATCATACGCGATTTCATGCGTGATGTCAAGCTCGCAGGAGATACAAACACTTCTTGCGTGTGGTGAAAGTTGGTCTCCTGACAACGAGGCTGAGGTTGGTAGCAGGATTCGATGCGTGCAGCATATGCCATGAGACGGATACTACTGCTGACGTAGTTGCTGCGCGAAGGTGAATTGAACACTGCTCAGTACGGCTGCGTAGCACTATTCAAAACACCGGGCTCGTCTTCTTGACCTCCTCCGTCATGCAAATACGCTGAACCACTGAAGCCGCCTCGCACACCAACAACGCATCACTCGCCGCCTCGCATGCCACGGCAGTGCGCGACGAGGTTTGTGATGGACGTCGAAATCAACGACTGGTCACGAACATCGACTCAGAGCTGGGCGGTCTTGGTGTGGATCCAGGACCGAATCAGAACGAAACTCCTTCATGACGAAAAGAACACGTCCGTTCGACACGCAGTTTGCGATGTACAATCGACGCTGAAGAGCCATCAGATCGCAAGCACAAGTGTTCAGGTGTTCGGACCGTCGTCTCGCAGCTGAATCAAGCAACAAGCAACTGATCTGCTCGAAACGCAAATGAAGGAGGAATCCAAGACCGACACGGGGCGACTTAATGCGAGCGCACGGTGATCGACCGCGTGACGTGTGAACAAGTCCGCATAAGCTACAGTGGTGGTAGCCGTGCGAGCAGACAGAAGCCATGCGACCAAATCGCATGCCAGACGCGCCAGTCGCGCCAGTCGCGCCATCGCGTCAGTCGTGTTCAGGTCGTGCAGAGAGACTAGCCAAGCTTCAGTCATGTCGTATGAAGCATTGGCTGGTTCGACGTCCTGCACGGTGACAGAACGATCGTATATAGCCGTGACGACGCAGCATATCAACCAGCGCCTGAAGTCGTTTACATGCAAAAGCTTCTCAGTTTGCGTGGTGAATGGTTCGTTACTGAGCATGTGCAAACGCACTCTCCGTCGTCCGATCACTACTGAGAGTGCAAATGGAATATGTACAAAGTCCTTCTGATTGCAGAGGCAATGTGCCCATACATACAACATTCTGTAGATACTCGCTCACATGACAATACGCTGCTGATAAGGTCTACAAGCTATTTCACAAAAGTCAAGTCGTACCCAGTCTTTCACATTGTCCAACACGCGCATGCTCTATCTGGTACAGATAAAGCATGTAGTTGTTAACGCTGTAGTTGGATCACAAGCATGCGTGTATGATGGTGTCAAAGGTGACTTCACTGGCGACGATCTCTCCGTACGCGCGGGGTCGGAGTATGTTAGGGTATGCAGCGATGACAGCAGTCCGATGTCCATTGCATGTGGGTGCCTGCTTGCTACTATCGAGCTGTATCGCCAGTCAGCTTTCGCGCGTGTGTCGGACGTTGATCTGGATACTTCGTCTTGGCAGACCTATCACGGCTGCCACGCTTGATGACTCCACGCTCGACCTGACCAGTCCATCACAGCCATGGAAAGACTCCCTTCAAGTTGTCATTTGCCTCCTATATGCATAAATAATCATGTTCTTTGTCGTACGCTATCCGACCAACGGTCACGTCTAGTGCAACCTTCTGTGTCCTACGTCGCAACGTCCATCTGACTATCAATGCAAGACGCACGAAGTCAATGTCGGTTACAGTCGGTCGCATTCGGTCACACGCCTTGACTCGGTCAACATCAGTGACGACCGTCACAGTCTTCGCCGCTTTCGATTGCATCGACGTCTCCCGATCCACTGCTGATCGTGCAGCTGCTCTCCCATGTCTCTGTGCACGTCACGTGCTGGAGCTGGTGCATGTACTCGAGATTGGTCTTGCAGTCCAGCGAGCAGAATGCACCTGCTGCGCTGCTGAGCGAAGATAGCGACGTGAAGAAAAGGCGCTCGCAGTTGGCACAATACGTCTGTCGCTGCCGCCATCGAGCTCCACTCGAACTTCCACCAGCAGCTCCCTGTCTCGCCAAACGACGATCCGTTTGTCTCTGTCCTGACGCTGACACGCTTGATACCGCTACGCCTCTGGGAATGGCAATACACGTTGTGCTGGCTGACCGACTTGCGGGCGTTGGCATCGGACTGACGACGCAATCGACTCGTCTTGGCCAAGACTTCAATTGCTGCTTCTCTGCGCGCCTCGTTCGCCTTCGAAAGATGAACGGAATCATACGCGATTTCATGCGTGATGTCAAGCTCGCAGGAGATACAAACACTTCTTGCGTGTGGTGAAAGTTGGTCTCCTGACAACGAGGCTGAGGTTGGTAGCAGGATTCGATGCGTGCAGCATATGCCATGAGACGGATACTACTGCTGACGTAGTTGCTGCGCGAAGGTGAATTGAACACTGCTCAGTACGGCTGCGTAGCACTATTCAAAACACCGGGCTCGTCTTCTTGACCTCCTCCGTCATGCAAATACGCTGAACCACTGAAGCCGCCTCGCACACCAACAACGCATCACTCGCCGCCTCGCATGCCACGGCAGTGCGCGACGAGGTTTGTGATGGACGTCGAAATCAACGACTGGTCACGAACATCGACTCAGAGCTGGGCGGTCTTGGTGTGGATCCAGGACCGAATCAGAACGAAACTCCTTCATGACGAAAAGAACACGTCCGTTCGACACGCAGTTTGCGATGTACAATCGACGCTGAAGAGCCATCAGATCGCAAGCACAAGTGTTCAGGTGTTCGGACCGTCGTCTCGCAGCTGAATCAAGCAACAAGCAACAGATCTGCTCGAAACGCAAATGAAGGAGGAATCCAAGACCGACACGGGGCGACTTAATGCGAGCGCACGGTGGTCGATCTCATGATGTGAAAAGCGAAGAATTGACGTGTTTCAAGGGGCAGAATATGTAACCGTGATTTAATATTCTTTTTACTTTAACTTTGCTCTATCCCAAAACTGTAATACTACCCTCCACAATTTTTATAATAGTAGAATCGGTATGTTCAGTACATATTAATGATGAAAGGGACACGTCAATAAATTAGGGAGCCAATATCCACCATTCATAATCTATTTAAAAATCCTAAATTTGATTTGATATTTTTTATAAAATGAATACGTATACGGACATGGTATCATTTGAACGAACGCTAATACTGATCTTGCTTGAGTTGAACGCATTGCAACATCACACAGACTTCGACACATTTTCGTCACCACTTACCAGCATTCATATTCTGCTTCACAACGAATAGTTATCCATTCTCCTTGGCAAAATTGTATGTGTGCAGCACAACGTTTGGTAGGGTATAATAATTCATTTAGATGAAAATGAAGAATAGGGGACATCAAACAGGCAGCGAGTTATCATCATACATTAAGATTTTCTACCGCAGCATAGATCGTCAATACATTTGTCCAGCATGACCGCGGAAGTCATGTTGGCGATCTTGGGCATTGACCGCTAGGACACTCATTGGCAAGTATGCTAAGCGAAAGCTGTCGCACATCAAAATGTAAAAAAATGTTTGCGGCAAGTATGTAAACGCAGTAATTGCGAAGATGCAGGACACATCCGAAAAAGATATTGGCAACCTCATCAATACATCGTAGTGACTGCAATGGTTAATTTTTTTGTTCTTAGTACTGAGTACCAATGGAAGCGTTTAAAATGCTTAAGAAAAAATGTGATTATTCCTTCAACATGGTAGCGCTTGCGTAGACACAACCATATTATTGGTATATGAAAAGCGTTTTTTATACACGTCTAACTATTAACAATGTTATTTTAATTCGCGTAATTGAGCTCTTCAGTTTTTATTGATCTACACAATGCATTAACAATAAGATAGATATGAAGTATTGTATTATATGGAGGGTAAGTGGTGATTATAGAGAAGCAAGAGGTGAAAACTGTCTTCCTAAACTGGTTAACACGTCAGTATTACATTATAAAGCCAACAAAATGGATCATTTGGTGCTTTAAGTAAATCAAAGCATCGACCTACTATGCATTCATGTAAAATAAGTTAATGTTACTTGTGCATAGGCAAAAAGCAGCTAGGCTTTATGTATGCTTTACGAATTCAGCGGGTGATGTTTATGACTCCATATTTCTATATACAATTTCGAAAACTTGTACGATCAGAAAAGGCCGCTAGCTCCGTATAGACAAGTGTTAATCCACTGGGCTTAACAATTTAAAGAGTTGCTCTTAGATGTAAAACGCATTCAACATATTTCACGTAAAATTTGGCCACTTAAACATTATCGAGAAGGAATAATGGGGACGGCTCTCGGAAAGCAAGTAGTTCATCATGCTCACATGATTCACCAGACCTTTCCTACTCTCGCTTGAGCCTCTAGTAACACTACGCAGGATGTGACAACAACAACGTATGAGGACGTTGCGACTGCGACATTGTTAAAAACGGTTGATATTATGGAACCTGGAGTGAAAACGATAAAAATGATAAGAATGGCGGTCCTTATTGGGTTTATATCACAGAAACGTTGACACGTCTTCAACTCTACGTCATGACCCAAGAAAAGCCTCGACAGCCGTGAAGACTTGCTTTTTCATTTTTATCATACCGCTATTACAACGGATTAGCTGCACGCGGATGATGCAGTGGGTCAATGACAGGTAAAAAGATCAGCGCTATGTAAATCCATGTGACTTGGCAACAAGAGCTTGCCCGTTTTCCACTTTTCGAATTTAAACAACTTTAAAGCAATAGCACGAAGGCATAACGACTATACATCACGCCGTAATTGGTTGGGTCCTACATGATAAATTTGCTTCTTATTCGACAGGCGTAAACACATCACCATCCACATCTGAAACGTAGCACAAACGCAACTGCAGCGTTTGGCAGGTGCATCAACATGAGCATGAAAGAACGCGATCGTCAGACCGTATCGACGTCGATACTATCGTGTACTCGTTGTCAGCGCATG